TATGTTCTACGGAACATATGGACAGTTTTACCTATGTCTTTCGAGACATATGGACAGTATACCTATGTTCTAAGGAACATATGGACAGTTTACCGAGGATCTTTATGACCTCTGGACAGTTACCGAGGATCTTTATGACCTCTGGATAGTTACCGGGGTCTGTGTGACCTCTGGATAGGTCATTCGGGACATTTATATGAGCTGTGGTGACAGCATAGTGGTGCACAACCTCAATAGACTCACATATCTACAGTTCTCACAGGTGCACATGGGCTAATAAGATAACATGGAATGTAATGTATAAGATATATGTGATGTATATACTTATGGTGATATGTCATGGTTGCTTGAATTATAATGATGTTGATAAAGATAATAATATACATGGGCAATGCAATTGGAAGACAAACGAAAAGTGAAAGTAATACAAGAAGATATGTTGCGTGTGTGTATGACATGATTATATATATTGTTATCATGCAATAGATACATGCATATTGAAATGTCATGATTCAATGGTATGAATGCACGTTCATGAATTTATTGTTATATGTTTAATTATTGCCTCACTAAGTCAACGACTTAGCGTGTGATTGTTTCACACGTAGGTTTCGAGAAGAATAAAGAGTAATGCGGAGCAAGACAGGTCAGTTCTCCTTACCAAATGTCAGATCAGAAAATGTATGTACTGTTTACAGAGTGTAGTTGGCATGTAGTCTAAAGATATAAATGGTATGAACTCTGATATCTGTTGTAAACGTTTTGAAATAATTTAAATGTTATCAAAGTTTTTAAATTACTCACTATTTTATACGAATAAATGTTTGAAAAGTCAATGTGACACTTCGGACTCGTATCCGAATCGGATATGGGTTGGGGGTGTTACATTCGCCATGTACCGACTAACCACTCCCACTGCTTGTGCAATGTCTGGTCTTGTGCATATCATAGCGAACATTAAACTTCCCATTACCGATGCATACGGTACTCGAGACATCTCCATCCTCTCTTCTTCACTGCTAGAACTCATACTGGAGGATAATTTGAAGTTAATAGGAAGAGGGGTAGAAATTGGCTTACAATCTTGCATGCTAAATCGTGACAAGATTTTCTTCAAGTAATTCTTTTGTGAAAGCCAAATCTTCCTATTACTTCCGTCTCGGTGAATTTGCATCCCTAGAATCTTGTTTGCTGATCCCAAGTCCTTCATTTCAAATTCCCTAGCCAGTTGTGCCTTCAATTCTTCAATATGATCTTTGTTGGGTCCTGCAACCAACATGTCATCCACATACAACAGCAATATAACAAAATCGTTATCACCAGACCTCTTGAAATAAGCACAAGGGTCTACATTAAGTCTATTATATCCAAGGCACATAATGAAGGAATCAAATCTCTTATACCAACACCTCGGTGCCTGCTTTAGACCGTACAGAGATTTGTTCAACCTGCAAACCAAGTTATTCTTTTCGTCTTCTTCAAAACCTTCAGGCTGGAGCATATAAATCTATTCTTCATGATTTTCATAAAGAAAAGCTGTTTTAACATTTAGCTGTTCCAAATGTAAATTCAATGTAGCACACATTGCCAAGACTACTCGAACTGTTGTTAGTCGAACCACAGGAGAAAAAATTTCATTGAAATCAATACCTTCTTTCTGAGCATATCCTTTGACCACCAGTCTTGCACGATACCTCTCCACTTGATCATCACCATTTCGTTTGATTTTGAAAACCCATTTGTTACCAATTGGCTTCCTTCCTTGTGGTAGTGGCACAAGGTCTCATGTATTATTTTTATGAAGGGCTTCGATTTCTTCTTGCATCGCCATCATCCACAGTGAAGCATCTGAGCTGTTTATTGCCTCCTGGTATGTTGATGGCTCACTGTCCTCTGTTAAAAGGCAGTATGCAATGTTACCTTCTATAACATAATCTGAGTTCTAATTGGGACGTCTTCTCACATGATCTGATTGACGAGTTGTTGGAGCTTCAGAACTCTCTGGTTCTTGTTCATCATGTGCTGGTTCTGCTTCAGAAGAATCTCCTTCTTCAAACTCTTTTTCCACATGTATCTGAGTAGTCTCTGACTTTTCAGCGATATCATCGTCTTCTTTTCTTTGTAGTTTATCTTCTACAAAGATAATATCCCTGCTAATGATCACTTTGCGAGCAGTGGGATCCCACAAGAGATACCTCTTTACTCCATCAGCATACCCCAAGAATTTGCATTTCCTGGATTTTGGATCCAGCTTTGAAATTTCTTGGGCGTTGTACATCACGTACATAATATTTCCAAATACATGGAGGTTTGAATAATCAACTGGTTTACCAGTCCACATCTCCATTGGTGTCTTCAGCTCTATTGCAATTGATGGAGCTCGATTCACCAAATAACAGGCGGTATTGACTGCTTCTGCCCAGAATGATTTTTCTAGGCCTGCGTCCCTCAACATTGCTCTTGTTCTTTCTAACAAGGTTCTGTTCATCCGCTCTGCCACTCCATTTTGTTGAGGAGTGTTCGCCACTGTGAAGTGTCTTTTGATGCCTTCTTTCTTGCAAAAGTCATCAAATTCTTCGCTTATGTATTCTCCTCCATTATCTGTTCTGAAACACTTGATCTTATTTCCAGAATCAAGTTCCACCCGCGCTTTGAAGTTTTTTAAAGTTGAAAACACGTCTGACTTCTTCTTAATAGGGTGCACCCAACATCTCCTGGAGTAGTCATCAATAAATGAGACAAAGTATTTTGCTCCACCTAGGGACGTTACTGGTGCTTGCCATACGTCAGAGTGAACCAATTCTAGAACACTTTTACCTCTAGAATTTGATGTGTTGAATTTCAACCGGTGCTGCTTACTTGTTATGCAATGCTCACACAAAGGAAGTGATACCTTTGTTAAGCCTGGAAGTAGCTTTTGCTCCACAAGGAATTTAATTCCTTGTTCTGACATGTGTCCAAGTTTCTAATGCCATAGCATTGCCGAATCTGAACTACATGAGGCAACAGAGGCTTCTGCTTCTACCAAAGTCTCTCCCTTCAGCATGTACAAGTTTGCAGCTATTTTTTCGCCTTTCAGTACCACAAGTGCTCCACGGAACACTTTCATGATTCCTTTCGTGTTTCAATCTTGCTTGCATTATTATCCAACAATCCGTAGATAATAAATTTTTCTTCAGGCCTTTCACGTGCCGCACATCTCGAACAACTTTAATTATTCTGTCATACATCTTCAATTTGATAGTTCCCACGCCAACGATCTCTAAGGCATGATCATTGCAACTATAAACAGATCCTCCTGAGACAGGTTCATAATGATGGAACCATTCTCTTCTTGAGGTCATGTGATATGTTGCTCCCGAATCAATGAGCCATATATCTGCAAATCGTTTTCTTCCTTCCACGGTGGTTGACGCTTCACAGCAAAGAGCATCTCCATCATCTGAAGTGTTTGCGGTATTGCCTTGTGGATTGGAGTTTTTATTTAGACTTCAACAATCCTTCTTCAAATGACCATTCTTTCCACAGTTGTAACACTTTAAATTCTTCTTGCTCCTCGACTTCGATCTACCATGTTTGTGACTGCTGCTTTGGCCACGTTCTGTTGATCTCCCTCTCATCGTTGTCATCGTTGTCAACGCTTCTGCTTGTTGCAGATTTACTTGTCTGTCTTCCTTGTTCTTGCGCTGATTTTCTTCTTGTAGAACAGCAGCTGCAACATCATCAAAGACTAGACTAGTGACATTAATGTTTGTCAAGTTGATGATGAGTTGATCATACGAATCCGGTAGACTTTGAAGTAGAAGTTCAACACGTTATTGTTCTCCTATTTTACAACTTAAGGATGTAAGTTGAGAAAATAAAGTATTCAGTGTATTTAAGTGCCCCGTCACTGAAGTAGATTCTGGCATACGGAGAGTGTACAATTTTCTCTTAAGGAAAATTTTATTGTGTAGCGATGTGGCCTCGTACAATTTGGTGAGATGGTCTTATATCTCCTTAGCTGTCTTATTCTCCTCGATGCTTGACAATACTTCATCTGCTAATGCTAGATGAAAGTTTGCCATAGCATTCCCGTCCATTTCGATCCATTTGTTGTTATCTGTGAAATCCACTGGCCTTTCACTGATACTTGCTAGACAACCGTATTTCCTCAGGATGACCTTCATCTTCAATTTCCACAATGAGAAATTTCTCCCATTGAATTTTTTCAATATCAAATTTCATTGTCATAGCTTCTATTATTGATAGCTCCCACTATTTCACTATCGTGAATAGTTCTTTAGAACCTCAAAGAATGGGTAATACCTTCTTATTTTCTTATGTTGGAGGATCCACCTTTTGGTGGCAACTACAAATACAATAAGCAGATATTACACACTCAAATCTGGCTCGGATACTAATTGTTGCGGAAGACGGCTATCGGATAGAGCAAAATCGCAACTGATAATTTGAGAAAATAAAAATGAAGATAAAAGAGACACAAAATTTACGTGGAAAACCCCTAAAAATATAAGGTAAAAACCACGGGCAACGGTAGAAGAATTTCACTATGAGAAAATAGGAATTACAACCTTTCTCGATCTACCAAGGAGAAAACAATGATAATTCTCTCTAGATAAAAAGGAGAAAACAACTCTCAAGAAACTCTCTAAAATCTCTCTAGTATTGGAAGAAAGCTAGAATGCTTTGGGATGGTTTTGAAGCTAAATGAGCTAGGGTATTTATAGTTGAAGCTTTAAGGACTAATTTGTAAATACCCTAAATTATAATGACTAATTGCATAGTTTTACCATCCAAAATTTTCAATAATTTGGTTGTCAAATTTGACCAATTTTGTCACCCTATTAATGCCACCAAATTGCCACCCATAATGTTGACAATTGATGCAATTTGGTGTGCCAATTTTCAACACTTTTGAGGTCAGAATTCTTGCAGGGGAAAATCCGATCAAAATTAACTTCAGCAACATTACAAAGGCATCAAACACGAGAGGAATCATGGCATTGTGTGCTAGTTTTGAAGGGGATGGTAAAGTGACATTGAGAAACCAAGTGTCACCCGATGTTTGTGTTGCGACAAGGCATGGGCATTTCGGTTTGGTCGTTGAGTTACCGCCACCTATGCCGGTGAGGCAGAAGAAGATTAGCAGATGGAAATTGGCTGTCGGAAGCTCGATCGGAGCTGCATTGGGTGCTTTCCTCTTGGGCTTGCTTTTGGTGACAATGCTTGTTAAGGTAAAGAAGAAAGCGAGAATGGATGAGTTGGAGAGGAGAGCGTATGAAGAAGAAGCTCTCCAGGTTTCCATGGTTGGACATACGAGAGCTCCAATAGCATCCGGTACTCGAACAACGCCTACAATCGAACATGACTACACACCTTTTGCTTCTTGAAATCTCATCATTATTCTTTCTGTAAGATTAGTTCTGTTTGTTTTTGACATAGAAAACAATTCCAACCAAAATATTCTTATGTTCTTTATCCATAAGTTTCCAGAAAACGACCTAGCTGGTTTGTTCAGACATATTCAAAGGGCTATTCGGTTTCTTTCTTTCTGGTTTTGCATCAGTCAAAAAGCCATGAGCGTGGGATTTGAATATTCTGAAAAAATGATTGCGAACAGAAAGAAAACCCAAGTGTCCATTGACCCTTCAACGTTGACCTTATTATGATTTTATTCTCTTTATTTTATAAAAATTTGTATTTAGTCACATTACTTTAATTTAGTCTCTTTTTTCTGGTATTCCGTCACATAGTGGGTCACATGTCAACCATGTTCAACTAAAAACACAACATCTTAACCGAATGCTTAAAGTTGTATTTACTTTATAGGCACCTAACCATTGGGAACAAAGAAGAGCGGGTAGTTTTAATACAAATTTATAAAAGTATAAGAGATATATTTATATAATTTTAAAGGAAAAACAAATTATCAATAAAATATTAAAAAATCTATATTATCTGAGATTTTAAAACTTTTAGAGGGCAATCAACTCCTCTCAATCTATCCTTGATCATGTTATTGTTTATTTGCAGGGGCAAAACTGTTTATCGGGTCTATTAATAACCTTACAAAAGTGGGGATAAAATGATCTGCCCTTGTGAACATATTTAAATATAATAGAGGGACTAAAACCATACATATACCCTGTAATCATATTACCCATCCCCACATAGATGACTTTAATCAGCCAAAGACCCTTGAAAGGAAGGAGTAAATTAAGAAATACAATGATTCAATAGAGAAACGGGCAATTATTACTTTATAGTAAGATATCGCAAGCGGTTTTAGTAATTAAAGTCAATATTGTTCTTCTCAAAAAATTTAAATTTGAGTAATTGCATCTGCGAAGTGTATATAAATTATCAATAACTAAGAAAAATTATAATGTATTGTATCTTTAATCACTTCAATCGACATTCTTCCTCTCATTAATTAAATCTGCCATGATCTTGTTGCACCACTCCTCTCAAGATGTGTTAAAGGGAGTGTTATTCTTTCTAAATATTTTAAATTCAAACAATTACATCTGTAAGATATACAAGAATTATAATAATTAAGAAAAATTATAATGTATTATGTCTTTAATCACTTCATTCAGCGTTCTTCCACTCGTTAACCAAATCTACCATGATATTCTTGCTGCACCACCCCTTCCAAGCTTTGAACCCAAGAGTTTTCTAGGATTTTAGGTCTAGCCATGGTCATATCATTATATCATCATTAGGAAGACTAATAAATCAAATTAATTTATTCTATTTATAATATTAGAAATCGAATATTGAATGTTGTTTAAGGATTTAACATTTATTTTATTTTGAATATTAATTTTTATTTTTAATTATTTTATAAACAGAATTAGACGTACTTTTTAGTTAAAATTTCCACATAAATGTGATTAGTTTTGAAATAATAAAACTTCAAATTTGAAGGTCCAGGCTGTTGGCAAAAGAAGAAGAGGGGGAGAAAGAGAATGAATAAAATGAGTTGGGCCACTTTCCAATCGGCTGGCCCAATTATTAGCAGGCAGCAGATTCGAGTGTAACGGTTCAGTTCTGCTTTCGGCCGCACTAAATCCTTTCCTTTCTTTCAGTACTGACTGTTACCAGTTACCAGTTACCGGGAAAGTGAAACGCATTAACCGAACGCTGTCGAAATTCTCACTTGAAAAGATGAATATATATATATATATATATATATATATATATATATATATATATAAATTATTATTTAAACGTATTATTAATAAAAATAATTAGCAAGGGGATCTTAAATATCTTTAAATAAATTAAAATATAAAATAACGAGATATATGATATATGAATATTATTTATGAAACATCATTCAATGATAATGTACCAAATAATAATTTATTAAATATTTTGTAAATTTAATAGTTACATTTATTTAATTTATTTTAGTTTAAGAATATTTTTTAAAATATTTATTTTCACTTAAGATTTGGAGGTATTTTTATCTAATAGTGAAATAATTAGGGACATATATGAATTGGATTGAGTTTTTAGTCGATTTGAATTTGGTCTAGGTATTATACTCTTCCTTCCATCATCTGGTCTCAAATTTAAGGATGTTTTACTCGACTTTTGATTCGATTTTATTTTTTGTGTAAAAAAATACACTTGATCTAACCTAATATGTATACATATAGTTCTTATTTTTATTAGGTAAAATAGAGATTTAATTGAAAATATAAAAAAAATATGATATTGCAATTATTCTTAATTATATATAAGAGTTAATTACGTTGTTTTTTCAAGTTAATAATTTTTTATCACAAACGAACTTACCTTTCTAAATCTCAATCAAACTCAAAAATAAATTTCAAAAAGAAAATCTTTCACCCTACGTTAAATACAAGTACCGTGTTCATTCCTAAAAATAATATTAGATTAAAATAGAATTGATTTGAAATATCATATTTATATGACAATTTATATGAATTAATATAATTTCTATAAATTAATTTGAAATATCATATTTATATGAATTTTGGTATTTGAACATGTCTACATGATATATTAACTTGCTAATAATTATTATTTTTTCCGTATCTTATAAATGGTAACTTATTAAAAAATTAAGATTAATAAACCGACTCAGGTTCATCATAGATAAATATGGATTGGTCCGTAGTAGATTCCTTCCTTTCGCGCAAAAAAATATAGGAACATCCAACGATTTTTCGTCGCCAGAAAAAAGAATCTAAACGACAAAGAAAAGCTGCCCCCAAGCAATAACTCGTCTTCAACCTCTCAATTATTCTCTTTTTAGGGTTTGTCCGATTGTAATCATCCCCTCAAAACACAATTATTTATCGATGGACGACCCGGCGTTGAGTAATCAACGTAACCAATCATCTCCGGCAACTCCCCATCTCAACCTCCCGTCGAGAATGTCCGACTCTTCCCTCCATCTCGAAAACGGTCCGTCTCGGTCTTCTCGGACAATGCACATCAACCGTCTGCTGAACTACAACTACAACAGCTCTCCGTCGCGCACAATTTATTCAGATAGGTTCATTCCCAGTAGATCGGGATCCAATTTTGCCCTTTTTGACATCTCAAATTCACCGACTTCAGCTGAAGGAAAAGAAGATGGCTCTGGTACTTATCACAGCCTTTTACGTTCTGCGCTTTTTGGGCCCGATACACCAGACAAGAAAGATCCATTGGGACCTCCGGCTTGCCGTAATATTTTCCGATTCAAAACAGAAACTAAACGGCCATTACATTCGCTTTCACCTTTCGGACTTGATGAATCGGTTCCCGGAATTAGCCATAGCCCAGTTAAGGCTTCCAGGAAAGTTCCCAGGTCACCTTACAAGGTTAACATTTTTTATGGTTTTCACGGTAAATTTGGTTGATTTCCGTTTTTTTAGGAGTTAATGTTTGTTCTTCTGTTTTTTAGGTTTTGGATGCACCTGCATTACAAGATGATTTCTATTTGAATTTGGTGGATTGGTCATCAAATAATGTGTTGGCTGTGGGGTTGGGGAACTGTGTTTATTTGTGGAATGCTTGTAGTAGTAAGGTTACCAAGTTGTGTGATTTGGGGATCGATGATAGTGTGTGTTCAGTTGGTTGGGCTCAACGTGGAACTCATCTTGCGGTTGGGACTAGCAACGGAAAAGTTCAGGTTTAACTTTATTAGTATTTTGATGATAAGAACCGTTATGTTTCCAACTTGTGTAGTTTATCTATGTGTGTATGCTTGCTTTCTGATTTTGCTGTGTTACTTTTAGGCTGTCATGGTTAGATAATTTAATTATGTGATCAGAACTCGAAAGCACTAGTTCTTAACAAGTGCAGTAATGTTTTCAAAGTTGTTTCACAAACAGGGGTGGCAGAATGCATGCAAAGTTTGAAAGCTTTGCCTTCCATAGAAAAGTATTGTTGATTTGTTAAAACAATCTGGAGCTATAAGAGTAATATTTATCATCATTCATTTGATTTAGCTGGAAATTCCTAATATTTATTTTTCTATGGAATTGTTCTTGAATTTGCTTATGCTATTATATGGTGTTTTCGGTTACGGGATTATCAAGCTATCGCATGATGTCCAAATTGCAAACCAAAAATAATAGCTGGACTTTATGATGTAGCTCAGAGAACTTTAAGATTGTAGTTAACTATCGGGAGAAATAAGTAGAGAAAAGGCCTCAAATTTGGTCGGAATCTTCTTCAAAGGTCAGATTAGGCATGATCCAAAAGTGAAAGCTTCTATCCATGGTTTATGGATTCAAGAGAGAAACTTAAAAACTGTTTAATGGTCTTGTCAGATGCAAGCATGGGTACCTTTTAAAGATATGTACAAATTTGCAGGATTTCTGTGTAGTGCGAGATGTCTTCTGATAATTTGGGACTGAAACTTTCATCTATTTTATTACCACATTGAAAGCTCATCTTAACTTCCTTATGCAAGGAAAATACATTCTTTAATTGCTTCAAAGTATTTTGTTACTTGAAAATTTGAAAATTTAGGTCTGGTGTTGTGAATCTTGCCTGTCATCGTCGGCTTCCTGTTCTGATTGAAACTCATATGGCAAGCGAAAAGTCAATTCAAGATTCTCTCCCCACTGGAGTTCCTTGGTCTGTTTTTGTTGATAATCTGAGTAAAACAATCAGTAGGAGAGTGTTGTGGGAACGGTTCAAGCTTCATGGCAAGGTTGTTAAGGTATTTATTTCCATTGTCAACAAGAGACCGAAGTACAGAGATTCAACTTTTGCATTTGTCCACTTTGAGAGTCAGGAGGATCTTTTGCAAGCAGTAGCAAAGGTCGATAATGCGATGATTGATGGGAAGAGAGTTTCGATCAGGGAGGCGAAGTATCAGAGGTTGGCAAGAGGGAAGAAGCTGATTAGTTCAGAAGCTGAAGGGGCTAAGCAGAGGATTGAAACTCAAACAAAGAGTCTTGAAGGTAAAGGTACGGTGTTTAAAAAGTTTCATGATGGGAGCTCTTATCGCGATAAACTGGTGGGAAAGAAGAGGTTACCAGTAGGGACTCGCAATAGTTTGACGAGTGGCGGAGTTGCTTTGAAGAATCCCTACTATGTCTTTATCCCTGTGGATGAGCGATGTTGGTTGAAGAGGTCGCTGACTGGCATTCATAAACAATCGTATGATATGGAACTAATTTAGAAAGCTCTGCACAGTGATGGTATAAATGCAAAAGTGGCAAGCTGGGGGTACGCTAGGAATTCTTGTTTAGTCACTTTCCTGTCGGAAGAAGTGAAAGTGAAAGCTTTGAAAGAAAAAGCTTTAGAGTTAAATTTATGGTTCGATTGGTTGAGGCCAGTTTCCTCGGATGAGGGTGTTCTTTTGGCGTTTTGTGAAGTGTCGTTAATTAAAGTACCTCTTAATTATTGGAATGAAGCCTTTTTCTCCAGTCTGGCTTCAAGGTGGGGGGGAGTTTGTGGAGATCAAGATGGAAACACTGCTAAAGTTGGACTGCAGAGTAGCCCAGAAGGTTGTTAAGGCTGCTAGTCCTTTTGATTTCCCGGAATCGATCTCCATCAACACTAACAGTAGGTTGTATGTGATAAAGATTAAAGTAGAGATATCGATTGATGGTTTTCCTGAGTTATCGAATGGAGAGAGTGATGGAGAGCTTTTAGATGAATGGGAGGCGGATCATCGGAGAACTAGTCCGATGATGGAGGGGTCTTGAGGGATCGGGAAATCCAAGAGGCAGGAATGGTGTCCCTAGAAAGAGTGGATACATGGCTTCAAGAGATTTCGACAGGTGCCATAGAGGCTCTCGTTCCTGGAGTTAATGCTGCAACTGATACGAGGCTAATTAATTCGGTGGGGATTGATGAAGAGAGGTAGGTTAATTGTGTAGTTCTTATGCAGCAGATTCTGTCGTGGATTAATGAAGTGGATTATGGGTTGGCAAGGGGAATTAATAGCGGGTCAGATAGGTTCAATTCTTGTAGGGAGAACGTGGAGAATATGCAGGCTGATCCAGGAACAAGCAAAGGTGGACATTTTCAACGTGAGTCTCATAGGAGATCCAGTTCTTTGGATTCTCTAAGTAGTAATGGTAATCATATAAGGGTTCAGGCGGTCCTCAAAATAATAATATTAGAGTGGGCGAAGATTCAATTTCTTCTTGTTCTTAGAGGAAGGATCTTTCTTCAAATTGTGGTCGCACCTTAAGAAGGAGTGTGTCAATGGGTAGAACTGGGTGCAAATCATTTATTAGAGTCTATAGCAGAAGCAGAGGAAGGGGATTTTCGAGAGAGGAAAAGCATGATCGTTCTAAGTCTCCAAGACAGTGTCCGGATGTGGATGAAGAAGTCTGGGCAAGTTGGGAAGTTAGCAATGTGATGGATGTAACCTTCCGAGGAGGTAAAAAAGCCTTTATGAAAAAGGCGAATTTTGTGATAGAGGAAATGAGGAAGGGGACTGAGAATTGATCTCCTGTGGTTGTCATGTTATTTTCTTATTTCCTATGTCAAGTTTAAGTATTTTATCTTGGAATGTGACGGGTTTGGGGAGAAGAGAAAAGGCAAGGGAAGGGGTATGAGGAATTTTATTATAGGGAAGAAACCAGTGTTGACGTTTATCCAAGAATCAAAGGGGGGAGGCTGTCAGTTATTCCTTACTAACGAGATTAGGAGGGAATTTGTTGAGAGGATATGTGGCGTCTCTTGCGGTTGAATCAACAGGGGGCTTGTTAACATTATGGGACGAAAGCAAGCTGGAGGTGGAAACCGAATGTGCTCAGGAGAGGTTTATTACATTTAAAGGTAACTTAAAAGAATTGTCTGTTAAATGTTGGTTTATTAATGTGTATAGGCTATCAGTGGATTCGGAGAAAGAATCATTCTTCGAGGCGTTGTTGTCTTTTGTGCTACAACTGGATTGTCCCATTTTTTTGGGAGGTGATTTTAATGCATACCTATCACAAGAGGAGAAAATAGAGAGAAAGCAGGACATATTCTAGATGAGAGTTTTTAACGAGTTCGTGCATAGGACAAATGATCTTCCTTTGTCGGGTGATAACTTCACTTGGTGTAACAACAGGTAAATTCCTACTTTTGTTAGATTGGGACATGTTTCTAGTAGATATGAATTTCTTATCAGTGTTTCCGATGCTAAATCAAAGTCTGCTCCTGAGATCTTTATCCGATCATAATGCAATTATTATGGAAAGTAAAGGGTTGGATTGGGGCCTGAAGCCATTTAGATTGTTTAATTATTTATTAGAGGAGGAAGGTTTTAAAGAGAAAATGGTAGAGGAATTTCAAAAAGCAAGGATGAGAAGCATGAGAAAAGGGATTTCCAGTGTTCTAAATTTCTCTAAAGCGGCAATCAAAAAGTGGTCTAATGCCAGTCTTATCAATATGAAAATGTCCATATTGGAGCTGGAAAAACATATTCATGACACGGAAATTGAAATGCAGCAGGGGTCCTCTTCTTTATCTATGGAGTCTTTGGGTATGGCTAGAAAAAAGCTTTGGGATCTGAATAAAAAGAGGAGCTGGTTTGGAAGCAAAAATCATGAGTGAGATGGTGTTTAGAGGGCGATCATAACACTAGATTTTTTCATACGTGTGCTGCAAACAGAGGAAGGGTGAATGCCATTAAAGCGTTGAAAGTGGGTGGTCAATTAACGATGGATCCTGAAGTTATTAAATCAAGCATTGCAAATTTTTTCAAAGAAGCTTACAATAGGAATCCTACATTTGAGGTAGAGGCATTGGATTTCAATTTCTCCAAGATTTCAATGGAGCAAAATTTGTTCTTGGAGAGACCATTTTCGGAGGAAGAAGTTTGAGATGCAATATCGTCCTCAGATAGTAACAAGGCTCCGGGGCCGGATGGATTGACAATGGGATTCTTCAAAAAGTTTTGGCCAAATTTAAAAGTGGAAATCTTGAGTTTTTTCAGTGACCTTTATATGGGAAAAAGATGGGATAAAGGAGTAAACCACTCTTTCATTACCCTTGTTCCGAAAAAGACAAGTTCGGAAAGTATTGAGGATTTTAGATTGATTAGCCTTGTCGGAGGGCTTTATAAGATTTTGTCGAAGGTATTATCTAGGAGATTACGAAAATGTATGGATTCGGTTGTTAGCCCTTCCCAATTCGCCTTCATTCCGGGGAGGCATATTATGGACTGTTCGTTTATTGCGAACAAGGGGATTGATTGTTGGAAAAGGAAAGGCCTCGAAGGAATAGCATTCAAGGTTGACTTCAAGAAAGCGTATGACTCAATTAATTGAAGTATATTGCTGAAAATCATGGATAGTATGGGGATTGGGCAAAGGTGGAGATCTTGGATGAAAATGTGTTTGCCCACGGCTTCAATTTCGGTTTTAGTGAATGGTTCTCCTTCGAATGAGTTTTGGATTGTGAGGGGTCTTCGACAGGGTTGCTCTCTTTCTCTTCTTTTTAATTTGGTTGATGTTGTCGAAGGATGTGTCTTTAGTCTTGTTTAGAGGATTTAAGATTTGAAGTTTGGGTAATTCCTTTAAGCTCACTCACCTCCAATTTGCAGACGATCTATTAATCTTTTGCAATGCTTCGATCGGGGAGTTGAAGAATGTGAGTAAGGTGTTTTTGATCTTTGAGATGATGTCTAGTTTGCAAATTAATTTATCCAAAAGCAGCGTGAATGAAGGGGTCCTTAGTGAGTGGGCTGCTATAATAGGGTGCATAGTGGGTTCCTTCCCAACAGATTATTTGGGGTTACCTCTTGGATGAAGAAAATTCACCATCATTATGGGACCCGGTTATTCAAAAATTTTACAAGAAATTGGTTGGGTGGAAGGCAGCTTCTTTGTTTATTGCTGATAGAGTTGTGTTGATAAAATCGGTTCTTTGTTCCCTGCCAACATATTTCATGTCAATTTTTAGAATGCCAAGTTGTGTATTGAAAATTATGGCAAAATTTCTTTGGGGGGATTTGGTTTCCAAAAGCAGAATTCATTGGGTTAACTAGTCTATCGTTTGTAACCCTAAGGCTTTGGGAGGGCTTGGGGTTTCAAATTTAGAACTTATGAACAGAGCGTTATTGGGAAAATGGACATGAAAATTTGCTAATGAGAAAACTTGGTGGAAAAGGATTATTTGTTGCAATAACAAAATTGATCCTAATTCAATGAGGTTGGAAAATTCGGCCTCTTACAAAGCATCTTGGATATGGAAGGGGTTGTTAAAAATTGTTGTTCGAATGGTGAATTTGGAGTTTGTTTGCGGAATAATTTTAAAATGAAGGTGGGCAATGGGGATTCAATTTTGTTTTGGCATGACGCTTGACTTGATGGAGTTCCATTGAAAGAGCGTTTTCCAAGGTTGTTCACTCTTTCGATTAACAAGGAGGGGAAGATTGCTGATTTCAGGAAATTAAACTCCTCAGGTTGTTTTTGGGACATTCCAATGAGAAGAAATCTTGCCGATTGGGAGATGTTGCAATGAGATAAACTTATTTCATTGTTGTATAATTTTAATCCTTCGCCTATGATTGATGACAACTTTGTGTGGTTAGGAGAAGGTGATGGTCGTTTCTTAGTTAAATCTTATCTTAGAATCCTTCTCGACAATTCGGATAACAGTTTTTTGTGGTCAAGACATGTGTGGTCTGGTGCGGCTCCTCCTCGGGTTGAATCTTTTGTCTGGCAGGTGGTGCATAAGAAGGTAACAGTCAAAGTGGATTTAATTAAATGTGGGGTGCAAGGGATTAAAGATCCATCTTGTCCGTTTTGCGGGTTGGCTCAAGAAACTATTTTTCATTTGTTCGTTTCGTGTAAAGTGTCTTGGGGTTTATGAGTGAGCTTCTTGCGGCTTTGGGAGATCTCTTTTGCTATTCATGAGTGTCTTGCAACACTGATTTCCGGTTGGTTTGATCTTGTGTCTCGATCAACCATTTGGGGTTCATACCAGGAGCAATTTTGTGGTCAATTTGGAAGATGAGGAATGAGATCGTATTTAACAAAGTAAAGTTGGATTTTGCATTGTTATCCTTTCTCTCGAGGTATAGAGTAGCAGCATGGTTTACCTCAAAATTTCCAAAAGTGCCGATTTCTTTTGATAGTCTAGTGGGGATCCTTCATTAGCTGATCGTGTTTTGAATCCTGATAAGATCCCTTCAAATTTGGTGAGTTGGTCTCTGCCTCCAATCGGTTTTGTTAAAGTGGACATGGATGGTGCTATGGATAGAATGTGGTTGAAAGGTGGCATCAGAGGGTTGCTTAGAGATGAGAAAGGTGTGGTGTTGGAATCGTTCTCTGAGAGAGTTGGTTTTAGCCCTCCTATTCTGACATAACTGTTGGTAATTAAGAGAGGGTTGTTGCTTTTCTTGGAATCGGGGATGTCGGTGAATCGTAGACTTATTTTAGAATCCGATAGCGCTGTGGCTGTGGAATGGATCAAGAACTCCGTTGTTCTTGTCTATAGTTAAAGATATCGCCTCGATTGTGGTTGATAAAAGTGTTATTGTTAGGCATGTGTTGAGAGCGACAAACTGGGAAGCGGATGAATTTGCTAAATTGGGGTATTTTTGTTGCATTGAGTGTGTTGTATTTGGGGAATTTTGGTCATTTTTTATAATTGTGTTTTGCTTGCGGTTGGTCGATTGTCTTTAGGATATAGTTTTTATGAGTTCGGCTTGGTAATTGCTTTGTTTTTGTAGTTTTTTTGTAGCTCATTGTTGAGGCGGTGGTCAAGGTTATTTGGTGGTATTGTATTTTTCTTGTACTTGGATTTATGCAATAAAATTTTGAGGCAGTCTTTTCCTCCTTCCAATGTCCGTTGAGCCACTCTTGTTGCTTGACGGTTATGAAGGGGGGTTTTAATGAGGCCTTCCTTTTTATCAAAAAACTTTAGGTCTGGTCTGCTTCTACCGTGGTCATGGAAGGCAACCAAAATTTCAGCCCTGCGTTGGGCTTGAGAGAGAATTTTTTTCTCTATTATTGCCTTTGCATGAATCTTATAGTTTCTGTCTATATCCGAATTCCTGCATTTTGCTTGTAGGATTATGTAGTTAGTTAATGGCTATCACTTTGTGTGTAGATCTGGGATGCAACTCGCTGCCGGAGGGTAAGAACAATGGAGGGGCATCGGTTACGTGTTGGGGCCTTGGCGTGGAGCTCTTCTCTGTTATCTTCTGGTAGTCGTGATAAGAGCATTCTTCAAAGAGATATACGTGCTCAGGATGATTTTGCTAGTAAACTCTCCGGTCACAAGTCAGAGGTTAGACTCTTATCCCCTTTCAGTTTGATTCAACTTGATCAACTATATAACTTTTTTGGCCAAACAATTATATTTATGTATTTTACATATAAATACATTTGGTTTTTTCCCCCTAGCACTATCTTTTCTTACATGTATGTCCTTTGATTTCGTAAATGCCTCTTTTTCATGTTTTATCAAGAATTCATTCTTACATGCTGGTCATCATTATTATTTATTTTTGGAAATTGCATGTTCTACCCATCATTATTGTTTTCATTTATGGCTCTTGCTATATGCTCATGTTCTGAATTCCGAGTCTGAATGACTATTGGGCATTGAGTAGGTTTGTGGACTGAAGTGGTCTTATGATAACCGGGAACTAGCATCAGGTGGAAATGACAACAAAGTATGTAAAAACATTTCTTTTGCCTGTCGGACTTATTCGAGGCTTAATATGCATTAACTTTGAAACTGATTGAATGACAAATCTCATCCATATGCAGCTTTTCGTTTGGAATCAACATTCCACTCAGCCTGTCCTGAAATACTGTGACCATACTGCTGCTGTAAAAGCAATTGCATGGTCTCCCCATCTACATGGCCTTCTTGCATCTGGGGGTGGTACAGCTGATCGATGTATTAGATTCTGGAATACAACCACTAACACACACTTGAGCTGCATGGACACTGGAAGTCAGGTGGTTTTTTTTTTATCAAATCATGCCCCTCAACTATGTCCTTAAATTTGCATCAAGTGGACTCTTAGGTGCATAAAGTTTCTTCCTTGACTGCATTGATATAGGTGATATTTCTCCAACTAGTTTGAATTTTGAAATGATGACTGCATGGGGGTCAAATTAATTCTCTTATCAATATGCAATGCAGTAACCTTGTTGATAATGAGAGATTAGGAAAATTTTATTCTACATATCTAATTTTAAGTTCTAGTATAAGTTCTTTGAACAGATCCATGTCAAAGCTTTATTATAGAAATTAACAGAAGACAGTTACAAGTTCCTTTTTGCCCTGGCTGTGCTCCTTAAGACTAGAGTTACAAATTCTTGATGCTTATAATGTCTGCTCGATGCATGGCAGGTATGCAATCTCGTTTGGTCTAAGAATGTTAATGAACTTGTCAGCACTCATGGATACTCTCAAAACCAGATAATTGTTTGGAGATACCCTATGATGTCAAAGGTAGAAGAAGTGTATATATGATTATTACCTCTAGTCTACTTTTTGTCTTCTAAAAGTTTATTCTACTAATGCAGTTGGCTACTCTTACGGGCCACACATACAGAGTCCTTTATCTAGCCATCTCACCTGATGGACAGGTTGGTCACCTTCCAAGCTTTATATACTTGTCCTTGGTTTCTACTTCCGTATTACAATAAAATATTAACATATATGAGAAGTTCTGCAATTTTATTTTCTCATTATTTGTACATCAATGTTCTACTTGTGTTTGAAATTACCTTTTTTCTTTTTACACTTTTTGCAGACAATAGTTACTGGAGCTGGAGATGAGACGCTAAGGTTTTGGATTGTGTTCCCTTCTCAGAAATCTCAGGTAATGGCATTTGGTGGAGTCCAGGCTATCTGAAAAATTTTAGTCTTCTTTCTTCTGATCATTTAATCTGGCTTTCGTTCGAATACCAGTCTCGTAAGTTTACTTTTGTTTGTGGGGATTGTATGTTTTACTTCATAGGGAGCAAATGGAATATAAAGTAGTTTTGATTTTGTACTGTTAAATGTCTGCTTTTAATTGAAAAGTAAATGCTGAATTATTCTGTGGCTTGCCTCGAATCACATAGTTCTTTCAAGTTTTCCTCTTTCTGCCATCAATGCAAACATCTGCTATGCAAATAATGCAATGGTCTATAGAAGCAACTCATACATTTGTGGCATGATCTCTAACGCAGAACACTGATAGCGAAATAGGAGCATCATCTTTGGGGAGAACCACGATTCGCTAAGTTGAAGAAACGATGCTGTAAGCTCGGGGTTTATCAGATATTCATACGCTTGTGAGCATTCTCATGCTCTGAATTTGCAGCAGGACAGGGGCAGCAACTATTTTATTGTTAGTTTATTGATTTTGGATCCCAGTTTTCATTTTGATTAATGTAAAAGAGGGAGTTGTTGCATCAATTGTCGGTAGCCGCTCCCTCCCTCCCTTTGTAAATTAAAAAGGTCGCAGAGTTTGTCACCGTAGCACGTTTCTTTGTGTTTGTAAATAAATTCATACTAAAGGGTTTTTGTAATGCGAGTAAATTTGAATTATTATTTATTTCATAGTCTTTTTATAATTTAACAAAATATATTTTTCAATATTCTTAAATGATGAAACGAATTTTAAATTCAACCTCATTTAGCTTTAGGTTGTCTTGTTTTGGGTCATTAAAAATATTTAATTGTCACTAAATGTTTGTTGTCACTTGGATGTAGAGGTGTTTATGAGTCAGGCTAGATTTATGTTTCAGAGTTAATACATTTTATTTTTGTCTAAATTTAATTTAGCTCGAAACATAGACTTTAAATTTTGTCCAAATCCATCCATATTTGTAAATGTTAATTCGAGTATGTTTTCGGTCTATTCATAATATTATTTTACTTTTTTTTAAAAAATATTTAATTTAATTTAATTTAATGTTCAATACTTTATATAATTTCTATTTTATAAAATTTAATTCTTTTATATATGGACAACTCAACATCTTATTTAATATTTATACTAAAATATTATATTATAAATTATTTTTTGTAATATAAATATATAAAAATAACATAATATATCATAAATTTATAAAACGGGTTGAATTGATTCGATCCAATTTAATTAGGCCTGTAAATGAACAAAATGAACACGAACAGGGTATGTTCATGTTCATTTGTTTAACTTTAACCGAACAAATGAACGAACACGAACATAAACGAACAAAAATTTCTTGTTCGAGTTTGTTCGTTAAGGAATGTATCTTGTTCGTGTTCGTTTATTTAAATGACGAACGGATGTAAAAAACCATAAATGAATACAATAAACGAATGTAAACGAACATAATAAATGAACATAAATGAACGTAATAAACTAACGTAATAAATGAATATAAATGAACATAAAACACAACAATAATAGTCATATAAAATTCATTAATATAAGTTGCAACTTCATAGTTAATTTTTATTTAATTGTTAAGGGTTTTTTATTTGTATTTATAATTAATTGAATTTTAAAATATTAATGGGCATCAGATTAAAATTTATTGGCTCTTAATATTTTAAATGGATCTAAATAGATTGGGGTAAACATAAATGAACAAACATAAACGAACGAAAGTAAACGAACAAACATAAACGAACATAAATGAACATATTATTGAATGTTCATGAACGTAAATGAACGAACGAGCCCTCTGTTTGTGTTCGTTCATTTAATTAAACGAACACAAAATATTGTTCATGTTCGTTAATTTAATAAATAAACGAACACAAACAAACTTCCTGTCGAATGGTTCACGAACAGTTCGCTGAATGTTCAGTTAGTTTACATGCCTAAATTTAATAGGGACTAATATTTTTATTTAAATATTATTAAATTTAATACGGGCTACCCGCCCGTTTAGCCCGCGGGTTTTGACGGTGCAGGCTTAAACGGAGCGGTTTAAAAAACTCGCAATCATAAACGATCTTGAATTCTAAGGCCCGTGGCCCGTCCATTTAACTCGCGGGCTAAACGGGCTTACCCGTTCACTGTTCACTATTTATGTGAAAAAAGAGAGAAGTTGGGGAGATAGAGAGAAACGGCGGAGAAGGGAAACAAAAAAAAATGAGGCTATGATTCCTAAAATTTTATAACGACGTATATATAATATAAGTCACACAAAACAACGTATTTTAGGGATTTAGGGCAACCATGACAAGTTTTAATGTGCTAATCGTGTAAGGGCTCCACCCACTTTTGAATTAATGCAATATAATCCTTAAATATAGTTTTTCTTATGATTAATTTAATTATTATATTTATACATGGTTTAATACTTTGATTTGTTTTTTTTTCTATTTTTTAACGTACATGTATATAGTTTTTCTTATGATTAATTATTGTAGTATAATAAACGTTTTATGGCTTATTTATATATATATTGATGGTATTAATTATAAATGGTAGTTTTTCTTATGATTAATTATTGTAGTATAATAAACGTTTTATGGCTTATTTATATATATATTGATGGTATTAATTATAAATGGTAAATACATATATAAAAAGATGGAAACATTTTTGCTTATGTTATCATATTACGTTACCATAGGTATAATTAATACGTTTGAACTTCAAAATTGGATATCATCAAATTAAAACGTGAATTGGGCTTCAGATTTCAGTGCACATAAAACGTGAATTAGGCTATGGCTAAAATGCACATAAAACGTGAATTGGGCTAAACGTGAATTGTCTTCCGTAAAACATAAAATAAATTGAAAAAAATAATTAAATTAAGCGGGCTACCGACAGATATACCCATTAAATCCACGAATTTAACAGTCCGGACTAATAAGCCCGCAATTTAAACGAGCTTTATTTTTTAGGCCCGAAGCCCGCACGAGCCGCGGGTTATATGGGTAACCCGCGAACCTTAGCCCATATACCCAGCTCTAATGAGTCTTTAAATCATTAACAATAATATGATGTATCATTTTATTATTGACGTATATTTATTTGAAAATTAAGTTTTTATTTTTATTTGTTACATAACATAAATTATAGTCTAAATTTTACACAATATGTTTTCAAATATTTATCAAATAAAACAGATTTATTTCATGAGATATTTTTATTTATTTGAACTAATAATATCATATAATTTTATTAAATGAGGAAATCCAATGAAGTTGTAAGAATTTATAAATATTAAAATAAACTAATCATTTTAATTGATCATTTCACTTAAAACCATTAAAATACATAAATTAAAGAGTCGATATCAAATTTAATCTTAAAAAAAGAGAAAGTTTATTAATCAAATGATATAATTTTTTTAATATGCATAATCAAAGAATTAAAAAATTGAAAAAGAGAGAAAGAAAAAGGAGATAATTAGAAAAAAGAACACAATAAAGATCATAATAAAATATAGGTACCGTTGTTTCGTCAAAGATCGACGGAATCATTCTCTTAAACAAATAAATAAAAAATATTTAAAAAAAATATAAAAACAAAAGATAGAATTAAAAATAGAAAAAAAACATTATATTTTAAAAAACAAAAGAGGGAAATAGAAAAAAAAAACTTAGACAAATTCATTTTTCTTTATCTATAAAAACAAAAGATAGAGTTATATTTATGATCATATAAAACAAAATCAAAAACAAATCTTAAAAAAAATTAAAAATTTTAACAATTTCATTTCATTAAACAGTATATTCCACACCTTAAAATTCTAATATCAAACAATTAAAAATGATAAATTATTTAATTTATTTCTATCACATTTTCATATGTCTAATGATAGTATATTCTAATGATAGTTTATTTAATTTAATTCTGTCACATTTTCATGAGTCTCTTACATTCAAATTCAAATAATATGTGAACTCTCTGGTAACATGAAGGTAGATGTTGAAGCTTCATTTAAATTGAATAATCACCAATATATATTTTAAAACTAGGGCTTTTGGATATTTCTTCTCTTCGGTAGTCCTATACACAATTCCGTCGCTACCTCCGTGTTCTGAGTTTGGAGCTCATCTGACAGGCTTGTTGACGATGATTCTCGTGGTCGCAGCCCACACTATTCATTAGAATGTAATAATATGTTCCATAATGTCGTTAAAATATTAATGAAAAAATATATATAGATAAGGGATGAAATTTTAAAGTTTCTTCTTTTATAATTGTTAATTTTAGTCATTCATTTGTACTCGTCTAATAATTTAAAAAATACTTAAAATTTAAAAATTATGCATTATGTAACTGGATATATATATATATGATAAGTGGTTCAAACAAAATCATATTATCATAGAGGACGATTAGAGATCAAATACCTGTTCACGCAGATTAGCATTTTCTTCCCCAAGGCGTCTCTCCTGAATTAATGTTTAGCTTAATTAATTATTAATCCAAAATAGCATCCTTGAAATTTATGCTGTTAAGAATCATATAATATGTTAATTAGAAAGCATGCAAAATGGTTCACCTCTTCCTTTAACTTCTCAATCTGCTCCAAGAATACCTGATTCTGCAACACATTAAAATAAATGTTTTAAGATTTTATAACATTATATACATACATGCATGAAAATAGAGATTCGAAACTATATATAGATATATAGTTTATGGATTTGGATGTACCTTTCTTGCCCTAATTCTGCATAAGCTTCGTTCCAACTGGTTTTCTAACTGTTGCAGATCATCAGCAGAACATGGTTCTAGTCCATGTCCCAGCATTTTTCTGTTATGAAACATATAGAGGTTTACACATGAAGATGAAGAAAAGGGATTCCAAATATGAAGTTGAACTCAACATTAAGAACAAGTTTGAAGCTCAAGGGTTTGTTTAACCTTTTAGAATCTTCCAGGAATTCAATCTTCCTTGCCATGCTTTGAGCGTCTTCCTTTACATTCTTCACGTCCATGCAAATTCAATCATTAGATATTGACCGACAAGACTCGATGCATGTATGATCGGCCTAGTGCAGTGTATGTGTGTGCATGTAAATATATATTTATTTCTGACTTGCTAAATATGTAAATAAGACACCAAGAAGATAATATATATTAGGGTGGGGCTATACCTGCATATTTTCGTCTACTGCTTTGCTGCTGATTCCATAAGCATCCTTCTCTCTCTTTTGATATCGATCTATGGTTTTGTTCATACTGAAAGCATCTCAAAACACACACAATAAGCACTGCACTGTCCAATTTAACTCGAGACATCCTAGGCAGCTAGGCTTACAAAATAAACATGATACTACTAGTCGAGGTGCGGGATAGACACGGGCATAAAATTTTATATTGAAGTGCGTAAAAAAGTTATCAATAAAAAATATCTAAAACATATAGAAATTTGAAATTTTTATTAGGACAACTGCCCCCTTCAGCCCATCAATGGTGCGGGTGACGCAGCCCACGCTTTACGAAATTTCTCTGCTATATGATAAAGCATTGTAGCTCATCTAAATCTTAGCTAGTTTGAAACCAATTCAGATATAGAAACATGTATTTAATTTAGTTACCTTCAATCACAATTTAATATTTCAAGTTAGAATTATTCGGATTTAGGTAAGTGTTAGATACCTGTATGTATTACGAACAACACAATTTCAAGTAAGGGTGAGTATTACTGTACTGCTTGGTTCCAATTAAATGAATATATAAAAAAAAGATTTATAATTATATTTAATAGATCAAATATCATCTAAAATGATATAAAATATTATTTTTTAAAAATAGATTTTGAGGACAAAAAATTGATGAGGGTACTAGGGAGTCAATGAATTGAAAGGATGAAAGAATTTGAAAAGAGTTATAGTTGGAGGACCAAATTAAATAAAATACAAAGATGATATATTAAATTACAAAAAGAGGAGATTTATGGTTGAAAAGAGAAATTCGAGTTACATATATATTCTAAAGTGAAAGAGAAGAATATGTGTCAAATTTGATCAAAGTAGACTTAAAAGTTAAAACAAGGAAGAGATTGAAGAAATAGGAAAATTATAGACCAAATCACAAAACAATTAAATTATTTAACAAAAATCATAAAATAACGTAGTTTTTATATTAAATTCTTTGGTTATTCGAACTTTTAGAATTTATGATAGTTATGTAACAAGGTTTTCTTTAAAAGGATTCAGGCCGATAAAGATTATAAAGTAATATTTGTTCTAAGTACTCTCAATCATTTGATATGAAGATCAAATTTTTAACATTGTTACGACGAGGGTTAGTTGGTGATGTAATGGTAAATGGTTGGACTTTTTTAAATCTGTTAATGACATTGTAATATTTGTGATTAGTATTCACTAATTGCAGTTCAATCAAATGCTCCGTTATCCATTTTGGGGGATTCGAATTAGTAATCGAGTTAGATTAATTGTAATGAAGAGTGTTCTAAGGAAAGTGTGAGAAATGAGGCGTGAAGCGGTATTGGATCTAAAATGATTGCTTTTTGTTTTTTTTTTAAGTAGTAAATTCGTACTTTTTTTTAATCATTTGTATTGAACACACATCAACACAGCTGCTTAAACTCAAGAATTTAATGAAGAACAACACACTCCCTTAACCACTGAGATCACTCAATGAGTTCACCTAAAAAGATAGTTGAGGGTAGGAGTGAGCAAAACTTTACTTGACTCAAAAAATCGATATTTTTGACTCGACTCGACTCAAATTGACTTTGAGTTGTAATTTCATAAACTCAACTCGACTTGAAAAAGTTTTAAATTTGAGTCGAGTTATAAAATACAACTCGAATATTTCAAAATTTTTAGTAATTAGTGGATTGGTTTTTAAGTTTGAGTCTAGTCAATCTACTCTGTATCATTCATGTATATCACATGAAAAAAAATATGAAGAAATATATATGAAGTTATAGAAAACTATCTAAATTGGAATCAAATAGTATCATAATATTATAAATATTTACAATTAAATTTAAAATGAAACTAGAACAATTTGACTCGACTCAAATTTTATAAATTCGACTTGACTTAAAAAAAATTCAAATCAAGTTTGAATAATAAAATAGGACTCAAATAACTTGAATTTTTACTTAACTTGACTCGATCGAGCACTCACCCCTAGTTGAGGGTTAAGTTAGTGGAAGAAAATGTGTACTATAGTTATATATTTATATTGTATAAACATGATGACATATTTTAATAGAATTATATTTTTCAAAGCAAATATATATACATCAAAGTGTGTCAAAACCCACTAGAAAGAACTATCTACACCCCATAGAAAGACATTCCCTTCCCTACCATTCTTGTCATTTTCATTTTCTTGTTTGGTTTTCACCATTGATGAGTGCTTGAAACATCAAGAAAGAAAAGTTTAAATTAGCATTATTTGAAAGGCAAATTCTTAATTTGAAAGCTCATGTTGGTTACCCATGAACTTGGCCATCTTTATGTGTCGTTAGATTAGTAAATAATTGTCTAGGAATCTTTGGTTCATGAACTCCAACTCCTCATCCTTGGTTCATGCAAGAATTCAAATATGAAAATTTAGATTAATTTTCAGTATATCTTGTTTTCAATGTGTATATGGCATGTGTTGAGAAACTCAAGTTAATTATAGAGGGGATTTTTAAGAAAGAAATGAGAAATTAATCACTAAAAAGCTAAAGTGGTGTTGGTCATAAATTTCAAATTTTTCGAGTTACTATTCAAGTTGTATTTTACAACTCAATTTGAACTTGAAATTTTTTCGAGTCGAGTCGAGTTTATGAAATTACAACTCGAAGTTAATTCGAGTCGTGTCAAATCGAAAAATTTAATTTTTCAAGTCGTGTTTTGCTCACCCCTAGTAGTTTGACATGTTATGTGTAGTTCATTAAACTCTATTATGGCATCATGATACACCTTGTAAAACCATACCATGCTTTAATAATACGTGCTATGCTATGATGTATTTGTGTAAATTGTTAATTGACTTCTTTATTAAACTTCTTAAAGCTTAATTTGTCTGTTCCATTGTTTTTACAGGAATTAGATAGTTCGAATAGATGAGATTGTACTATCAGCAAATCATAAGTCATCATCTCTTGTATCGTATATATCTCTTTTGAATACTATTAGAGTCGGTGACATGTATATAATAATTATCGATATTAAGGTCTAACTATAATGATCGCTTTGCAAGTCTTTCATGTTTAGAGATGTGTATATGTTTACTTGATTCAAGTTGTGTTTTGATATATGCACAACACTTGTTATACTTGCGTGTAAATTATTATGAGTGAATTATCGAATAAATATTATAAAAGCATGCACATGAGATGATTGATAATAGCATGATATGGTACAATAAATAAGCTTGGCACATATGCATCAAATGATAAGTTTGATACTTTAGGATAAGCAATAGATTGATGGTTGTTGAATTATTTTGAGGTACAAGTATGTTTGAATAGTGTGGACGATTGAACAACACATGCTAGTATTAGCTAATTTGAGTGTTATATGATAAATGATGGTTGAGACTAGTCTAAAATTTTATAAAATAATTTTAGTATGTCTAGTAGGTTGAAGTGTATGTTTGGTGTGAGATCGAAATCTAAAAATTAAAAATTTGTATTTTAATTTTAAAATTTCGAAATTGTGTGATGTGTGTATCGATATTCTTAAAAGAAGTTTTGATACTTTCATTACATTGTATTTAAGAGTTTTGATACCCTATATCTAGTTTCAAAACTACCTTGTCTTTATTGGCAAGTTTTTTTTTTATTAACCGGGAATAAATATAAAGGGTTGTGTCTGTTTAAAATTAATTCTCAACCATACCCCTGACATTCATAGTACTTGAACTCGTGACCTCAAAGAATAATAATAAAAAAATTAGTTCGTTTTGTTAGACCTTACGATTGTTATTAATTGTATTATTTGTCTCGTGATTAATCTATTTTATAGTTTAATCTTCTCATTGCGTAAAGTCTTTGTTTTAATTTTCTATCAAATCTGATTTTACTTCAATTACCTGCCGTAGCATCTTTGATTTGATTTACGACTGAATTGGATTTGATTTGAGATGTTAAAATTTTATGCTTAAAGATCGTAACATTAAAGATTGTTGGGTGTCTTCTTCATTAAAATCCTTAGAGTCCAATGTTGACGGTTCATTTCATGGTAGGTTTGGTAAAACTAACATTGGAGGTGTTAAGAGATCATTGTGGTAGGTTTCTTGTCCGATTCTCTATGGGTACTTGACTCTAAGAGTTATCGGCCTATCAAAGATAGTGGGGTTTACCTTGAAAAAAAGGCAAATTACTTCTCCACTGTAACCTAATCCATATATGATAAAGAAGAAATCCCCAAGTACAATAACACAGAGCCCCCAACAGTAAACAGCTTCCACTTCCAATTTACTAATTTCCTTCTTTCTTTCTTTTTTAGTTAAAAAAATGGAACTCTTTTGACCTTTCTATCACTTGTGTAGTTTATGTATAGGAGATTTTAACATAAACCAAGATCTTATAGATAGAAAGAAACAAGAAATTTTCTCATAAAATCATTGCATGTAGCATACATTATATATATATATATTGCAGCTCCATGCTTATTTTTCATTAATCTTTAAAACCCTTGTAATGGTTGTTAAGTCAAGGTAAGGCTAAATGACTCAACTCCCAAGCCGTGGCGACTAATAATCTCACTATATCCTTACCCAAGACATTAAACCCTAATTAAGGACTCTCTTTCTTTTGCCTGTCTCGGGACTTATGCTAGTTGAAGAATGACAGAAATCTGCAACACATAAACAAGGAAACCCAACAGATTACGAAATCAACTCCTAAGATTTGATTCTAAAGAGATCAGAAATCAGACCCCCTTATAATAAAGCTTGCGATCATCAATGACTCCTAGTACTTACCTGCAGCTATATACAGTACATGGTAGGACAGCGGGAGGACTGTCTAGTTAAAATCCAAGTTCAATTACCGAAACTTATATCTTCCAAGATTTAATTAGCAAAAACAAAGAAATTATCAGAAACTTGCAGGAAAATTACGCACCCGGAGCTAGAAAACTCATATAACTTCCCTCTGGGAGAGAAGATGATGAGTGCAACTTCGGCATCGCAGAGAACGGATAACTCATAGGCCTTTTTAAGCAGTCCATTTCTTCTCTTTGAGAAGGTTACTTGCCTGCTTGCTGCATTTTCTATTCTCTTCATCTGGGTTTTCTGTCTCCCCATTTTCTCCTACATACACAAACCCAGAAAAATAATTTGTCTCAACTCAAAGTGATTTTTTATCAGGGAAAAAGAGATTTCTAAAAATAGTACTATGACAGAAAAATCTGCAAAAGTTGAGTTGATGTGAAGGGAAAAAGAAAAAAAATAAGAAAATTTCTCTTTGAAAACGAAAAATCTAACAGAAACCCTAGATTTTGCAGATGAGAAATGACTTGACCAATCACTCACTCAAGCTTCTCTAACCCTATATTTTAGTAGTAAATAAATATGAAAAAACAGAAGGATATCATAATAGGCAAAGTCTATGGAAGTGAAGAACCTAATCTCTTTCTTCTTTTGGTAAAATGGAAGACGACCTCCCAAAAAAAGAAAAACAGAGAATAAATGACAAAACGTGTGATTCCACAACGACGAGCAAGACGGATGCACGGAAAATGTGTGCCCACCGCCTGAACAAATGACACCTGTTGGGTTTTACCGACAACCTCCGCTTCCGGTATCCACCGAAAGGAGCAACAACCAGCCTGTGAGGTGATAGTAAAATACACGCGACAGTTCTGTCGGTTGCATGAAAATGTTGGACACTCCCCCGGACACCATTCAAAACTTCTTTCTCTCTCTCTCTACCTTGTGTCCGTACAAGGTTGAAACACGTCTGCATCCGTCCGTACTATTAAATAGGAAAATCACCAATGGGAGTTGGCCACGTTGTTCATCGGAGTGACCATTATCTGACTGGGTTTCACATGGCCAATCCATGTTTGGTTGTGGGTTTTTGGGTCTTTTTTGCCTTTTCGGAGTATTTGTTTATTATCTTCGTTTATTTATTTGTTTGGTAAAGTACATCACATGTGATGAATAAAGTATAAATGATTTTTTATATTTTTATATTTATTTTTTGATTAATTTATGATAAGTATAAGAAAATATTTGTTTAAAGGTAATCTCAACCATTTGGTTTTGAATTCTTATATTCATGATTTTTTTCATTTTTAAACTTTTAAATTTATAAAATATTATTATATTTATGAGATTGTTATAAAATTATTCTTGCAACTATATATTATTATAAGTATAATAAATTTTGAAAAATTTAATAATAATCTTATAATAATTGGATGAGATTAATCATTGTTTTATAGTAATTCGCTATATTTAATATTTATTTAATAAATTTAACGATTATTTTGTAATAATTTAATAAATTTAATGACCATTTTCTAATCATTTTGAAAGTCAAAGGATCATTTTATAATAGTTTAATAAGTTTAATAATCATTTTGTAACAATTTCATAAATTTAATTATCATTTTTATAACTATTTGAGAAATTTAATGATCATTTTGTGATACTTCGATAAATTAAATGACCATTTTGTAATCACTTGAGAAGTTTAATGACTATTTTCTAATAGCTTAATAACTTTAATAATCATTTTATAATAGTTCAATAAATTTAATGGTAATTTTATAATTACTTTAAAATTTGATAACTATTTTAAAATAATTTTATAAATTTAATGATTATTTTATAACATTTGAAAGCTTTCTGACTAAAATATTATTTGATATAGTTCAAAGATCCTTTAGTGTTTTTACCCTTATTTTTGACTTGTGAAATGAGCAAGTGGTGGCGCACTATTGGATCCTCGATTTTTTCAAAAAATAAAAGTATGTTTTTTTTAATAATGTTTTTGTTGGTCTTAACTCTCACTAACTCAGGGGACCACATTAGGGACACGTGCCCTTCTGCTTTTGAGGGTATGACGTGGACAACTAATTTAGTGATGAGAATCTACGTTTTGAGATAAAAATTTGGCATTACTTTACAATTATTTCTCCGTTAATAAATTAGTTGTTGTACTTCAAGGGGGTGTGTTTGATAATAACATGCCAGAGTCTATGATTTTGATAGAGCTTAAACAAACATGTAGAAAGCAAATCATATAATAAATTTAAGTGTGGAATTTAAACTTATAAACTTGATTAATTCAAAAATTTTCATTGAATTTGATTTAATTCGATGGAATATTTTTCTTTAATTTAGGGGTTGTTTGTTTGACTCTTAATGGAATCATTTAGCGCTGAATGTTGAATCGTTCAACATTCAACGTTTCTTTCGCATTCTAATGATTCAGTGCTGACCGATTCAGTAAAACAATATTGAATGATTCAACACAGAAGTACATTTGAATGATTCAGAGTATTATAAAACAGTATGTCACATTCAGAGCTAATTCATATAGAACCTCTAAATCATTCAATATTTGAATCATTCAGCGCTTAATCATTATGAATTGCTAGGGCTTTGATTGAGGTTGTTTAGAGGTGGCCTCTGTCTCATCTTTACTATTTCAGGAGTCCATTCTCTAAGTTTTAGATTTATAAGTGTAGAGCTCGTTGGTCCGTACGGTAATGAATCGAACTCTGCATGTTTATGGGACACCCTTCCATGTGGGAAAAGGACACATGGCATCCAGTCGTACACCAATGAACAGTGCTTCCTAGGCCCCTACGGATTAAATCTTATCAGCTTGTGGTCCATTCCTTGTAGGCAGGCCCTTTCTTAATTGACCTACTTATCCCATTTGGTCAGTTACGTCGCTTCGAAGATTTGTGTACGACTAGTAATTGCTTAATTGGTAATGGGGTACAAAAAAGTTATAATAGCAACAGTAACTTTCTCAACATTGTTAAAGTCAGGTTCAGCCTATAAATATGAAGCACCATTTTTATTTGAAATACACACTTGGCACATATCTCGAATTCGAACACACAAATGAATTCCATCTCTTTTACTTGAGAAAGATTTGTGTTGATCTCAATAAACGAAATGTACTTTGAATTACAGAAATCACGATTAAATTATTTATAAGATAATGATTCCACCACAGCACAAGTTTAATAACTTATTTATTAACATGTACTTTCCTTCGTTATTATTAAGATCATGGTTCTACCCGACATGAAAATGGAGAAGTTACAAAATTTGTGTCGTGGTAAAAGTATCGTCTTATAAACAATTTCGCCTTGATTAATATAATCTCAAATGGGGAAATCAGACAATGCTAGAATCAATGGCTAATGCATCTGTATACTCTCCATTAAAATCGAATAGTAGCAAAACAACTCAACATGACGATTATTTTTAGAAAGGTTTTCAACTGCCTGGAGAAGGGGGCTAAAAAGAGATTTTGGGAGGGAAAAAAAGGGGGACTATCATGTTCATTATCGCAGCAGCAGCATCATTCCATGATTCCATGACCTGCATTTTCAACATCAACTTCACCCATGCCTGTGTCTTCCTCTTCTTCACTATCTTCGTCGCCACTTACCTCTTCATTATCATTTCGCAACTTAGCCATGTGCTCAGCAAGCAATTTATCATCTCGTTCACTCACCTAAAATCAATCCAACATGTGAGGCACTTCGGAGAAAGACTGAAGATTTCAAATCATGAGACAAAGACTAATAGCACTAATGATTCCGTGCTAAGAATCTCCGTAGCAAGAAGATTAACACTGAATTAAAGAACAAATATGAGAGAATATGGATACTCACTGCTCTAGGTTGTTCCTTGACAACAAGTTTTCCCTTGTGATACTCTACTGCTTCGGTGCAAGCTGTAATTGCTTTAGTAAGAATGGCTATGCCTTGCTCCTGAACAGCACACAATAAAGAACTACATAATTTAGAAAGGAAAGGAAAATGTTAGACAGACATGCATGCAAATGGCAATATCAGCAGATGAATCTGGCATGGAGAAGCAAAAATGGCAACTCCAACGGCGGAAACAATGTCGGATGTGAATCAACAGGGTTAACAGAAGATAATTCACTGAAAATGCTTTCAGGTTTCAGAACTAAAAGATGTGGATTGGAATTTCAAAGACAGGTAAAATAATTCACTGCAGATGAATGAAAAGGGACATTAGGCTAACCTTGTCAACGGTTTGAGTGGTAAGAACATAAAGTGGAGGAGTAACAAGCTTGATTTTAACAGGGCAATCATCATTCCCAGCAACCTCAGCTTTACGCATGGCCTCCTGCGAATTCAAAAAAAATAAAATATGTTACCAACAAACAAAGCAGAGAGAGCATGAGAGATTCTGTGAATGATACCTTAATGTGAAGAACGCCATCAAACTGGAAACATTTCATTTCAATGTCAGCCCGAATCTTGAGAGGTCGTGGAGCCATTCTTCCCCTAATGTTTTTTATCAAAGCATCTTTGACTTCCTCAGTTACAGCTGGAATCACCTCAGTCACCTAAAGAAAGAAATGGTTAGAGACTCAAACCAACTGAAGAAATAACGACCGATGAATCTTGCAAATAAAAAGTTTACCTCCTGTCCGTCTGGCCAGGTTTTTTTACTTCGTACGTAAGGGTGTTCAAGACTGAGTCAGGGTCAGTCACAACGATTTTGAATACCTGCAAACATAAATATTAAGGCCATGATAACAGTCTGTAAAATATAGAACATTTCAAAAATGGCAGACTCCTACCTCAAAAGCATGGCCATATTTCCCGTACAGAGGCCAACCAATTTTAATGTACAACTCCTGTCACAAATAATTAGCATCAGTCAATTGTATCAGTGTATGCTGATCAGCTGATGACATAAATTACTTCCAATACTGGCAATATTTATAAATTATTGTGATAAATTGTCCATGTTTCTTAAAGAAACTGGGTAAAATGTAATCCAAAAGTGAGCAAAAATTACGACATTTTGACTAAAAGTAAAACTTTTTACAAGGACATCAGCCAATTTGCATTTTGATTATCATATTTCGGTAACAAAAACAATCATTCTCCGCGTAAGCATTAAATCATAAAACAATAGGAAAGTACCCTTATTCTCATTTAGCATCAAATCAACCCAACCAAATTTTCAAAGCAAAAAACCCATAAAACAGTGATCAAATTCCCCCAATCAATCAAGAAAACCCCAAATTTACTTCCATTTCACTATCCATAAAGCACGGCAAAAAGTATTCATCTTATCCAAATTTAGAAAACCATAAGTTTCATAAACCACCTAGAGCAAGCAAAACAGCCCTCAATTTTAAAAATGAAAAATGAAAATAGACAAATTACCTCCAAATCAATGTCCAGAGTCTCGGCCACATGTCGCATAATAGAGTGAACAAGCTTACTCTTATTATACCTTTCTTCACAAGCTTGAATATCATCTTCGCCAACTCTCCTTTTACTTAAATCAATGTAACCCTTTTCCTTATCAACACGTAGGACCATAACGGGTTCGGTTCTGTCCACCTTGATTAGACTGCTAACGCTACGAATCCGGCGGCGGGAGAGCTCCGAGAACAAGATCATGCCTTCTATGTTGTTGTACTCCAGGAGCGAAACATAGGCACCCATGTCGGCGATATTTTTCACTTGTATC